CATCACGGTGTCTGTACCAAACGAGATACGAAGGCATAAAGTAAAGTTACGTCGTACGCAAAACAAACACCATGAATACCTCCGAACAACTAAACCTAAACGCTCACGGTCTGGACAGAAAAGTATTATTCAATTTTCCCATTTGGACAGCAGCGGTAGGAAAATTCCCATGTGTGTTCCTTCTTCAATGCGTCGTTGAACCAGGATGGAGTTCGCAGAAGCGATTTGAAACCGAGAAGAACCAAATCAATACACACGAATCACGTAACAGTTAACCAATCAATGCCCACGCGGCTTGCACTAGCAGTCTCTGCTCTACCGGCCACGTGAATAAAGGCTAAGAGAAGGGAATCAACAAAACGAATCATCCTGAAACCGTGGTTCTATAAGGCATATTAAATACAGTACATGACTTACGAATAGGTTTAGCAATCGCAGTGCAAGGGGGCAGAAACCGTACAGCGTGGAACGGAGCGAGCCTTTCGCCAGTGTCGCAGTAGCATAATAATTAGCATGTCAGGTCAGGTCAGGTCAGATGGACGATAGAGGCTTCCGCCTAACGAGCCTCCAGTTCTTGTGCCGGTAAGTGAAGCGGCCCCCGGCACTTCAAAGCTGGATTGTCTCTTTGTGCTTCTGCAATGGAATGAAGTAATAACAAGAGCAATCTCTGCATTTTTATATGCGAGCATCAAAATACACTAAATATACCAGTACAACTACAATAGCTCTGGAAAAAGGATGGACCTACAATTGTCTAAGCCCCTTTTGAAAGCTACTACGGTCTCAGCCTCTACTAAATCAGAAGGAAGTTTATTCCAGTAGTTAACTACCCGGTTCGTAAAAACTTTGCCCTGATATCCAAACGAGTTCTGTGATGTTTGAGCTTCAGGCGATGCCCGCGCAGATGGTCTGACGTAGTTAACTTAAACAGATGGGTGGAACTAATACCACTAAGTCCCTTAATGTTCTTAAACGTCTCTATCAAATCGTCTCTCAACCTGCGTCGTTCCAAGGTAAATAATCCTAAGCGACTTAGACCATCTTCGTAAGACTTCCCTCGTTGACCTTCAATCATCCTGGTCGCAAGTTTCTGAATCTTTTCTATACAAATGATGTCGCTCCGGAGGTAAGGTGACCAGGCCTGAACACAGTACTCTAGATGTGGCCTGACCACCGTTTTATATAAGGGCAAGAATACTTCTGCTTTAGTGTTACTCAGCGCCCTCCTAAGACGAAGTAACTCGTGTCGTGCTTTATTGGCAGCGTGGCGACACTGTGCCGAAAGCTTAAAATTGTTCGCTACGATGACATCTAGATCACGGGCTTCATCAGTACACCGCAATGATAGAGATCCCACAGAAGACTGAACTGCAATTCAGCTACCACTAATAGTCAATAGTTGACATTTGTTGGCATTTAGAGGTAGGTTCCATTGGCTTGACCAATTCGCCACAGTGATGGTGTCCTTAGCCAATGTCGCTTGCTTTCTCCTATTGACTAGCTTCGAGTCATCTGCGAAGATGTAGCAGGGATCCTCAAGAAGAGGAGCCAGGTCATTTATAAACATAAGAAACAGCAATGGACCCAGAACCGAACCTTGGGGGGAATAACCTTGAAACCTAGAGTTGTAGAGAGTAGAAGGGAAGGCGCGTGTCAGCTCCATCACCTCCCGTTCCTTGGCTGGGTGGCCTGTCGATTCTAAACTGTGTTCCTTTGAGGGATTGTTGCAGCTACAGCAAATATAGCGGAATCCAGGCATGCTCAGCGTGTACTTGTCCAATCGTTCTCTAAAACATTCTTTTGTCTGGGCACTTACCACACGTTCAGAAAGATTGTTCCACTCATTCACGATCCGTGTGGATAACGCGATATCGGACCGGATATGGTTCCGCCGAGGTGTGTATAAGGGCAAGATGTGGCCCCGGTGTTTGATCAGGCGTGGTTGAGCTTGGAAGATCTGCAGCTCACTCCCCAATATCGCCCCTGAAAGGCGTCTAGTAGCATATTAAGATAACCTCGGCGACGGCCAAGTGTCCCAGCGTAAATGTCATGTTATGTCAATGAGCCGCGTGGAATGGATTTTATATACGAAATGGTATAACCGCTGGTAGTTCACAGTAAAGTAGTGTAACTGGGCTGCATAATTAAGGACTAGAGATACAGTGTCCTCATGTAAGCAAGCCAGGTTGTGGATACATCATTTGGTCATTGGATTGTAGAGAGCAGAAAGAAAGTCCTTTGTCAGCTCTTTCACTTACCGATCCTTGCGTGGATGCGGTGAGTCGCTACTAGACGGTATTCCACAAGGGGCCGCAACAGCTACATTGGATGAAGCAGGGTCCCAGTTTAATCATCAAGTGAGAATCCATAAATCGCTTGAAAGATTTCTCTGTCTGCGCGTCGACCATATGTTTCGACAAGTCGTTCCAGTCATTGACAATGCGGGTTGATAGAGTGACGGTGGAGTGAACTCTGAGTCTTCTGGGTTTATATAGTTTCCAGTTGTGCCCCCGAGTGGAACTATTTGTGTTGACTTGAAAGAACGCTTGTAGCTCCATCCCCATTTCCCTCATCAGAATTCGTCTAGTAAAAATCAGATCACATCTACGTCGGCGATATTCCAGGGAGAACAAATGCATCCGCTGTGGTTGAAGAGGGTGAGGAAAGTCCCTTAACTCCAGTATGGATTTCGAGGCACGCCGCTGTACCTTCTCAGTCATGTTACACTCGAACTTGATAAGAGGACAGATGGCGGGTTGTCCGTATTCAAGGATCGGGCGCACATGAGAGTAAACAGGATATTGAAGATATCCGGAGGCAGTCGCGAGAAGGCTCTCCGTATGGCACGGGACATCCTGTTGGCAGCGGCAGCCCACCGTAGTGTGTCTTCTGCGGTCCGTAAATCATGTGAGAAAAGCACACCGAGATCTTTTTCAAGAATGGTGTTTCTGAGTAACACCCCACCAATACGGTATATCCCGAACGGTTCGTGGGCGCCTATGGGTGAACTGAGCATTTTTCACAATTTATGGACAACTGCCAGTCGACTGACAAGTCGTGTGAAATGTCCAATGACGCTTGCAATCTGTCAGCATCCTCAAGACAGGATACCACCATCCACCACTTCATGTCATCGGCGTAAACCATGCCATCCAACTGAAGCTCTGATGGGAGGTCATTGATGGATATTTTGAAAAGTTCTGGACAAAGTACTGACTCTCGCGGAACACCGCTAGTCGTTGGCACAGGAGTGGAGTGGGATCCAATCACCTTCCTTGCAAGGTCCGGCCAGTTAAAAAATCAGCGATCCAAGAAAGGATATTCCCAGAGACACCGGTACCTCGGAGTTTAAGAAGGAGCCTTTCATGTAGGACCTTGTCAAGCGCCTTGTTGAAGCCTACAAAAGCCGCATCTAATCGTTTCCTAGCATTTAACGACCTCGCCCAGTTTTCCCTAGCAACAAGCAGGTTCGAGGTACATGAGCGTGCCCGCCGAAAACCATGCTGGGTACAGGAGAGTATGTCAAGGTTCTCGAAGTGATACTGCAGGGCGCGCTTGAGAATCCTTTCCATTAACTTGCACAGTACGGACGTTAGGCAGATAGGTCGATAGTTTGCAGGATTTTGACGATCCCCTCCTTTGTATATAGGTTTAACGGTCCCCAATTTCCAAGCAACCGGGAGTCGTCCAGCTTCCAGGGAGTAACGAAATATCTGACAGACAGGAGCAGCAATGTAGTCCGCCACGGTCTTGAGGAACAGCGGGTGCAGCCCATCAGGACCCGACGAGGAGTTCGGATCTAATTCATGAAGGCTTTTGTCCACGTCAGCTACACTCATTTCTATGTGCTGCAACGAAGAAGAGTGGATTGGCGCGGTGTCATCTGGTAACCGCGTCTCGATCGAGCAAACAGATGAGTATTGCTTGGCCAGTAAACTGGCTTTCGTTCCATCGTCGTCAAGTAAACTGCCCTGCTCTGCAGAAAACAGGGCAGGAATGCCACTGCCAGCTTTGGTACTTCTTTTCAAGTAAGAGTAGAGTGCCTTCGGTGTCGTCCTGGATTGCACAGCCAAACTGCGTTCATACTGATGCCGTTTCTGATGTTTCTCCATGATGCAGTCATTTCTGATCAATTTGTACTCCGAATAGTCAAGCGCGCAGTGTGTGAGCTTGAATCGGTCCCATAATTTACGTCTTTTGGACATTAAGCACCTCAATTCTCGGTCTATCCATGGAGGGCCTCTGGTAAACGTTCGCCTTTTGCAAATAGGAACAACCTGCTCAACAAGGGAAATCAGCTTGGAGTACAAAAGGTTCCACTCCTCATCTGGGTCCGAGGATAGAGGGATATTCCAGTCCACAGCGCTAGCGGCCGCTTGCAGGCGGATTGGATCGGCACGCCAGAAATTTCTGCGGAAACTATCTTG